TTTAAAATCACATTTTCAGTATGTCAGGTTTCAGTTTGAGCTGCAGATCACTTTAGCTATGTGGTGCACAGTATCAGAAAGCAGTCTTTAAAAGGTCAGTGCAAATGGCAAAACCCCTGACCTACAAAAGCACAAATGAATTGCTGTGGCAGTTGCTTTAACATGGCAACAATCTAATTTTGTTGTGCAAATGTTTTAGCCATTGTTTTGTGATAGATGATTTTTACAGAGTGTAATTCAATTGTCCAGCAATCCTAAATGTGTCTGTTTATCTTCTGTCATCACTTGAACAAAACAAAACAACAACAAAAAATGACCACAGTACTTTCCAAGGAAACACCTTTTCAGCCCCACCGTTGCCTCATTATAATCACAATAGAAATATCCACGTTTTGGATCTAAATCTAAACACACCTGAACATTTAAGCAGAGTTGGACAAGTCAAGACTCCTTGGTGTCAGTTTGTAATGTACTGGGAAGCCCTTTAGCAGCCGGATATAAATAATGAGTGAGGAGGTGGTTGGGGTGGAAACGTGGGATAGAAACGGGACTTTCTCCCAGGAGACCAGTGTTTGTTTACAATGTGAAACAAAAAGTTAATATTGATTGTTTTTAGTTAAGTAATGTCACTTAAGTTACGTGACTTATCTTATGTAAGTTAAGTCACATAAATAACGTAGTTATTTTAACCCAAACCATAATTTGTTTTGATAGTTTTGGTGCCTAAACCTAACCAAATTGCGACGTTTCACATTAACCACTGGTTTCATTTTTTGTATTGTATGAAAGACTTATCACTTGCTAATGAATCATGGGCATTTTACTAGTTACATAATAAGGTAAAAACAGAGACTCAAACTAACTACATAAAAAATTGTAAATTGCAAACAGAAATTGAAGAAAAGATTACCACAATTGACCCTTCACTAAGCCACGGCCTGAATACACAGCTGGCCTATCACAGTGCAGTATAGGACTCGCTCTAACTGTGGTCCGACACTTTCATGGATGCGCTGCATTGACTCTAATGCAAAAAGTCGTTTTCTAGCTTTTTTTGGCTGTATTTTTCTAAGAGATGGTCAAACGCTGTTCCTGGGTGACTTGGAATAGTTACAGTCGCTATCCAGAGAGGCTGACAAGAAGTACGATTTATTCTCTTTCTAAAACCTAAAACAAATCCAGAAAAATGTCGGCTGCGGATTGTTCCTAATGTAATGTAAGTTATCTAACGCTAGCTAACTCCCAACTGAATGTAACGTAATAAAGCCCTACTGTTCTGCTTTTTAATGATTGTACCCAGCTTTACAGGAACAGTGTTGATCCTTAACATCGTTGTCTTTTGTCTCAATCGTGGTGGGATGCAGTGGTTCACTTTTAATTTGGCTTTAGCTTCTATCTTAAATTTTTTTCATGTCTGTTTGAGTTATTTTGAGTCAGTTTGAGTCCGTTTGACAGCCTGAATACAACCTTCAAATGTATATTGCAACTGCAAAACTGTCTGCTTCTTTCTGAGATCGCTTTTTCCAACAAATTTGACAATATTTCTCCGGGGAGTGCAGTAATAGACAGCGGCAGCGCCGACAGTTTGTCAGACTTAGCAACAGTAAGTAAGGGGGGCAGGGCTTAGCAAAGAGTCAATTCAGATTCAGCCCAGGCTTGGTTTTATTGACAGGTAATCTCTGGGAAGAAAGGACTACCGAGCCACAAAGATCTAACAAAGATGAGAGAAAGATTTCACAAGAATGCTTGTTGTCACACTGAACAACATATTGATCTAATCTTGTTCATTCAAAATGTACTGACTGTAAAGAAAATGTTCAGGTCAGAATGCAAACCTGAATGCATGTGCTCATTTCAGTTCTCTACACTGCATTTTAGATGTATTTTGGAGACCCATAAAAGCAGGAAATGAGTGCCAATAGTCTGACGGATCGCTTTCTATCTGCACTTTATCATCAGTGTACGGAGATCATCTCTGATAGCAGGCGTTAGACTATTATTGAGTGAGCTCAATCTGAACTGCGGCAAGCAATCTCCATCTCAGCACACGGGAATCTTTCCTGTTTTTCTTCTTTTGTTTTGTTTGTATGTTTTAAGTAATAAGCACATTTAGATTTTTTTTCCCCAGAAGCACAATTCCTTTACTTTCCTCATTCATGATGCATCACGTATTGTTACTTTTTAAAATAAAAATAGGCATTATCTTCTTTTCCATTGAAAGACTTACTAAAATATGTTTAAACTGTGTCAGGGGCAAAGCAGGTTAAGTTTCTTGACATTATTTTGCTGTTCTATCCCCCGCTGAATGAAGAAATGAATGGATCTCTTAGCACATGGGAATGCAACCACTGGTGTCCCGCATTCCTTGTTTCCCACCATCCCTCTGCTGTTTCTAAGGAAACTAAATGAGCAGAGCCTCTGACAGTCTGTGAATTTCAACGACCCTCAGCAGCAGAGGACTTGATGCAACCCTGGCAGAGGCAGCAGCCCCCACAAATACTTGCTGACCAGGAAATATCCTCATATGCTGAATTTAGCTCAGAAACAGTACTGACAATCACTGTTATCTTCTCCAGACACTGAATAATGCTAGTTTGGTGAGGCAACAGTGGGGTTGGGAAGGTGTTTCCTTGGAGGAAATGTTTATCAAATGAATGCCAGAATGATGTCAAAGTGCCTCCAAAGACAGACAATGACATCAAGAATTGGCGCAGGGACAGCAGATGCTTAGCTACTGCCTGCCAAGCTTTCCAAGCTAGCACTAAATGTTTGCAGTTTATAACACTGGCAGATTTAACACTTGAAATTAGGGCAATTGTTTGCCTATGATCATGGATGCTTTGTTCACAGTCCGCTGTAGCTTCTTTGTTTGGCTGTCCGTGCTACCATACTGTGATCGATGATGTAATAGTGGACTTGGTGATAGCAGAGTAGAACAGAACAAGGAGTTGAAGTTTATTTCCAGTATTTTTTAAGCTGCCTGAGGAAGTGAAGTCTTTGTTGAACTTTTGCAATGTGTTCTGTGGATGCTTCTCAAGTCTCTTAATTGCATCCACGTTTCCCTCACTTGCATCTTTTCCTTGCATCTTAGTTCCGCCCCCCGGGGATGCATGGAGAGACGCAGGGAGAGAAGGGATGAGGAGATTAGTTTTTAGAGACATGAGACGTCCTTTCCTCCAAAGCGTCACGTGAAGTGACGTCCGTTTGTGATGATGGAGGCAGCTGATCACAGCTGGATCAGCTGTCAGTCGGCTCTAACAGCTGTAGGCCTACACACTTTTGATGAAGTTTGTGTCTGCACACATGCACTTTTCTGATACTAATAAAGTCTCAGTTATCAGTGCAGAGCAGTATGATTCTCTCTGTAGCCTTTAGGCTACCAAACACTTGCAAATCAATAATTATAGGTTAGGCCAACTATAGGCCCTGTGTCCTGCTCAGAGGCACAGGATCATTTCTACAGGCACAATGGGCTATATTATCTGCATTTATATTTATTGAATTCGTTATTGAATAACCCAGAATATGTTCATACTGTCTTGGGATTTATTAGGCTAAATGTTTTAGGGAAATTTAAATGATGTGGCCTAAAACATATCAAAGTCGAAGCTCAGTTTTAGGCTTTCCATTTATTTCCTCTTCACTCCACGCCGATCGATCACTGCGCGCCATCATATAAAACATTCATTCTTTCATCAGCTGATTTTACTCACGGAGCCGCCGCCTGCTTCCATCAGATGCAGTAGGTGAGCTGCTTCGTTTTCATTTGCTTGCTTCATTAAAGACTTCAGTGCAGTTTAGCTACAAGTCCGACTCCTTAGGCTAAGTGGTTACTATTTAGGCTAATGTTGTTTATTTGACTAAACACAGGAATGAGCAGCCTCACATGTGACTGAATAGAATGAGATAAATGATGTAAAACATGTTTCTTGCTGACAGACTCTCCGACTGACTTTAATTGTCTCCATAATAAAAGTTGATAATAGAAGAAAAAAGAAAATCTTTCTAATAGGCCTAAATGAAGAAAGTTGTGTGTGGGGCTTTTGTTGTTCAGACCTACTATGAAGATTTTAAGTGAATCATAAAACAAACCAAAACTTTGTTATCCGTCATGATGCATCAGATCAGTCCAATCAATATAACAGCTACCCAGTAAGAGGGCGTGTCGGTCAGTAAAAGACTTCCGCGAAGGATGCACTGGTGTATCCTCGCTCATAGCTCCTCAGAGATCGCTCCTTAATCCTCGCTCCTCAGAGCGCAAATAAGAGCTTTGGGACAGTCTGCAAGATGGCGGAGCAGAATAACTTCTGGTTCAAGCGAGGATCGAGGAGACAACAAATAAGAGACTTGAGAAGCACCCAGTGTTAGTAGTCCACTTCAAGTTATTGCTAATAAGTGTTCCTAGGAAATTAAAGGGCAGCTGTGGCTCAGGCGGGGAGAGCGGGTTGTTCGTTTATCGGAAGGTTGGCAATTTAATCCCTGGCTCTTCCAGGCTGTATATTGAAGTGTCCTTGGGCAAGATACTGAACCCTGAATTGCCCCTGGTGGCATTTCCACCAGTGTATGAATGTTAGTTTCTGTTTGAGCGCTTGAGTCAGTGTGTGAATGTATATGCAGTGTAAAAGTGCTTTGAGTGGTCGAAAAGATTAGAAAGGCGCTATACAAATATGGAGCATTTAAAGGAGTCAGTGATGCGGATTGGGTTGCTGTTTATTTGTATAGGTGTTTTGGGAAATGGCCTACGTCTGAAGCCAATGACTTCTTGCACACCAAGTGACATCTTGGTCCACCTCCATGCGGTACAGAGTTTCATCATTGTTTGAGATGGACATACAATGGTTGTGTCATTGTAGTCTGTAAAGTAACGTAAAGTGAGCGGTGTAAAGGAGAAGAGCCATGGGGAGAGAACACATCCCTGAGGAGCTTCTGCACTGAGGGTGAGAGGATATGTTATTAAACTTCTGCTGTGAGTCAGGACAGAACGGACCCAAACGCAACACTCAGGATTCAACAGGTTTTATTAAGGGAAAAAAAGGGGTTGAGGGGGTGGAGGTGAGCGAGAGGTGGATGCCGGGGGAACATGGGCACGGGGGACAGAGGAGCCATGTACTGTAGGGCAGAGGAGGCTGAGACAAGGGAGCCGGGAGCCACCGGGGACCAAGAAGAGAGGAGGCACAGGAGAACTGACCGGGGGGTTGGTGGCAAGCTGACTGTGAGGCACGAGGAAAAGCCGGGAGGATGCCGTGGAGGAAGCCCGAGAGGAGAGGGCAGGTAGGCAAGCCCAGCCGACACAACGGAGGACGGAGGTGAGTGAACCTGGGGAAAGGCAGACAGACAGGGTTAATCACTGGGAAACAGAGATTTTACGGGATCAAAAGCTTGAGTCAAGCAGTAGCACCAGGTCAGGAACAACAGTGATCAACCAGAGATTGTGTGGAGAACCGGGGTTGATATACTGGCGGAGAAAGAGTTGATTGCTGGCAGGTGTGGTAGGCAGAGGAGGCTGCTGATGAGGTGCAGGTGTGGATCGCCAGCTGGGCTCAGGAGCAGAGAGAGAGGGAGAGGAGGAGACACAGAGAGGCAGGCAAAAAGACAGGGGAAAACAGAACGGTAGGAAAAAAGGAGAAATAAACAGGACACTCCTTATCCAGTGGCACATAGCTCAGTCAATGTTCATGTCCAAGAGTGTAGTAAAGAGTTTAATAATATTGAAGGCAGAACTAAAGTCTATGAACAGGATGCGTGCATAGGTGTTTGGTGATTCCAGGTGTTGCAGGGTATGGTGGAGTGCTATGCTGATTGCATCCTCAACAGACCGGTTTGTCTTGTTAGGCAAATCAGTGAGGAAGTGCAGGATTTCACTTATGCCAGAATAATTTGTTCTAATGCTTTCATTACCACAGATGTAAGGTCAACTGGTCTGAAGTCACTGAGGCAGGTTATTTCTGAGGACTTTGGCACAGGAATGATGATGGAACATTTAAAACACTGTGGGACTGTACACTGGCTTAATAAGATGTTAAATACGGTGGAAAATACTGGTACAAATTAAGCTGCACAATGGCTAAGCAAAGCAGGACTGTTCCCATCTGGCCCTGCTGCTTTCCTGATGTTAAGCTGCATAAATGTTGCTCTCACCTCGTCCTCCTGGATGCAGAAGAATGGTGTTGGAATGGGCGGGGGGGGGGGGGGGGGTAGGTTGCATAAAAGTCATTTAATCTGTCTGGGAGGCTGGGATCATTATTAAGAGGAGAGATGGGGCGTTTTTATGGTCTGTCATGTCCTTCAGATTTTTCCACACTGATCTTGAGCTGCTTGATTGAATTGTTGCTCCAGCTGTGGTGTAAGTCCTTGGAGAACCATGTTTTTTTATTGCCATAGAATGTCGCTGTTTTGGTGGGGAGGCACATTTCCTCACAGAACTTAACACATGACGTCACAGTAACAGTGAGTTCGTCGAGGGAGTCAGAAGCTGCACTGAATATCTCCCAATCAGTGCAATCGAAGCACCCTCGGACCGTTTCATGGGCATCTATGGACCAGGATCTGACAGATTTGATGGATTTAAGCTTTTGTCTGTAATTATTCTTATAAGTAAGAATGTTAAAGACTCATTAAGCATCAAGGACAGGTGTTACGTTGTCTTCCACATGGTCCTCTGCTGGCCTTTTTCATCACCTGTAACCACCTAAAATAATGTAGATAATATGCTAACTCTAATGATTAGACTGTATGTAATAAGAAAGTTAGGCCAGGCATGCTAATGTTAGCATTTCATATTAGATTATACAATCCATCCTACCTTGTTAAGCATGTATTGGAGACGGTACAATTTGAAGAAGTCATCAAGAAGACATCAATGTAACTACTAAAAGTAAATTATCCAATACATGTGTCAAACTGACTATCCATGCCATTCAGCTTCACAAAGACAAAGTTTGTCTAAAGATCATAATACTGTATAAAATTGTATATGTTTGTTATTGTTTCATAAGATCTTCAAGTGTTTTTTATTATACATTCTGACTTCTTTGAGAATACGTAAAAACCTTCAAAACCTGTTTAGCAGTATGGGCAGAAAGAAATTCTCTGACAGGATTTAAACCTAGTTATAAAGATTCTTATACAGATTTCCTGAGGGATGATTAGAGTTATTCCAGGACTAAGTGAAGTAAATTAATCCTTCATGGAGACTGGTTGAACTTCAAATTAATGATGAACCGTGTGTCCCAGTAGCTTTCTCAATTCCTGTCTTAATAGGTAAAGGAAAAAGAATGATGAATCTGCTAAAAAAGAAGCACTCAAATGATTCTGCTAATTCAGTAAATTTAGCACCTAAATGGGACAGATAATTGCTTTTAACACACAAAATTTTGCTTTATTAAATGTCTGGAAAAACCTTTTTCAATGATCATAATCAAATTATCATCAAGCACAATCTTAAATTCGTGCTTTTAACTGAAACTAGGTTAGACCAAGATATCAGTTCAGCTGTTCTTATCGAGTCTACCCTTCCCAACTTCAGTTTTATGAGTGAAGTTACAGGGCATTACAGGCATACTGACTCAGCATGTGATGGAGCCCATACACAATACGGGGCACACTCTGGACTTAATCATCTCCAAGGGTCTGAACATTTCCAAGGTTGTGGTGCCTGATCTCGGATCATTTTCATTGATAGTGCTATTTCCGTGCACACAAATGTTCAAACAGAGGTAATTACAAAACGGTCAATGAAAACACCCGTGAAATATGTATTGAGGCTCTCTTCCACACCAGCCCTCTCATGGGTCTCAGTCAATGAGAATGTAGATGATGAATTCTAAAATTACAAATATTATTCATGACATTGAAACAGCCAAGGTGAAAGTGGTCTCTGGTAAGAAAATATCTCCCTAAATTTTAATGACACATTAGACACAGAGGGCTTGGGGGGCGGGAGGGGCACGTTGGGAGGCTCCACTACCTGAGAGTTATGGGGTGCCTGTGTCGCAACTATTAAACATTTACAGAGGCCTGGACTTCTTGGCCCTTGATGGGTGGGTGGGTTGGTGGTGACATGCAGCTGGGCTAGTTGATTTTGCTTCCGCAGGTTCCACCTTTTGGATTCCGTCAGCATTGCGTTGTCGTTTTTTTGGGCGGGTCGCGTTCGCGCCGCGGTACATAATAAATTTTTGGCTGTTGGCTACTGGGGTTCTTGCCTGCCTGTTGCTGGGGTCGGTGCCGCACGGTTGTGGCATCCCACCCTCACTAACAACTACATTCTCTAAGGCTTAGGCGCACACACAGACGCACACGGTCTCACACATAGAGACAAACAAATTTAGGTTGTCCCTGGTAAAATTATTCTTGATGCTTTTCTTTCAGTTACTTGTTTAAATTAATTGTTATTATTCCAGCTCTGTTGCTTAATAATTGTGCTTGACTGTTTCATTTCTCTCTCAGTTGTCTTCCTATGGCAGCTGTTTATTGCTGCTGTTCGGCTGGTTGTATCTTTGTTGTTGCTGTTGTTGTTGTTTTGTTAGTTTGTTAGTTGTTTTTCTCCGCCCCAATCCCCCATCGCCATTCTCTTGCAGGCGTTGTCCTTTCTCTGTGCTGTCTGTTTGTGTGGTGTTTGTGTCCCCCATCCCCATGTCTGCCCCCCTGTCCGGCCGGTGACAAATACATTTAAATAATATATTATTAGTATATTAATACTCTCTTGTTAAAGTAAAATCTGTCTTGCACAAATGGTATCCAGCTCGTCATACTACCAGGCTGCTGGGCAGGAAAAAAAACTAAATTTAATACATTTCTGATCTTCTGCTTCGTTATGAACCATCCAGACCTCTAAGGTCAGGTCTGCTTTCTGTCCTCAGAGTCAAAACTAAACATGGAGAAGCAGCATTCAGTTTTTATGCTCCGTATATCTGGAACAAACTCCCAGAAAACTGCAAGTCTGCTGAAACTCTGTTAGTTTGAAATCAAGGCTTTGCAGCTGCTCTTATTAAATCAAATTTGAAGCTTTTGATTAATATCTCACACTGAACTATAACTTTTACTCTCCTGTTTTATCTTGTTTTTATTTTCTGTTTAACTCAAATTGTATTTAAATGTATGTTAACATTTTCCTATGCTGCTTTTATGTTATAAAAGTCAGTTTGAATTACCTTGTTGTTGAAATGTGCTTTATAACTTACCTTACCTATCAATGGAGAAACATTGATTAATTGGACAATTTAGATGGTTAACATGCACCAACAGCCAGTCAAGTTCTTATTGAAACACACAGACAAATAATTCAGATAATTGTCATTTCTTCACATGTACAATAAAGCCCATATTTGCATTGTTTTCACAAAGAGAAACGCCTGAACCTCCTTTGTCTCCATTAATTGTTGGGTTTCACTGATGCTCTCTTTATAAATATGTTCTTTTCTCTGCTTCCATTAATTTGTCTGTTTTCACCCCACTGATTCCACTTTTGTGATGTGTTCCAGTTTTTACAAGCAGCCTCCGGCCACTGCAATGTGTATTGCTCTTACTAATGAGGACTAACACAGGTGGTTGAAATTTATCTCGTTTTACGTGATGCAAGTACAATTGGGGTTTTCACCTGTTTTTCCTGCTTTATGTAATTGGAATAAATGCTGTAAGGATGGAAACAATTAATACATTCATCGTGTAGAGGCACATAAACATGTTTGGAGCTTAAATGAAAACAAAAACAGATAAAGTTTATGCTTTCAAAAGGCACACATACTGCAGTTTGTCTGTACCAAAGGAAATGTGAAGTGGGTGGCGATGGAGCAGTGGATAAGACACACGCCTTTGTACATTTAACTAGCCGTGAATTTGTTTTTGGGTGCTGTCTGTTTTCGTCTAAGAAGTCTTTCACGCTGTTTTCAGTTCATGAAAATTAATTGTAACATTTTGGTTGCTTATAAATGTCTTTTTCAGCTGTTGGTTGTACTATAAGATACCTTAAGGAGTCGGCCCCCAATTAGTATCAGTCAGCGTGAATTACGGCTGCACCTTACTAAGCTTGCTCCATCCTCTCGTCTGAAATGGTCACTTCTGGTTCCAAAAAACAAGATGGCAACAACCATAATCATCTTCTTCTTGTATTTGGTAGACTAGATGCATTTATGGAGTATTGCTGCCTTTCACTGTTTTTGATTTGTTATTCACATCTTAATGGTTTTGGGAATCGGATTGATACACCAGGTGGCGAACACATTCCACTTCAGGCCGTACATCCTTCTCGTGGACGGGGCTCTGGAGCTGAGTAGCATCTCGACCGCTTCTTCCGTTCGGCCCACCTCCAGGAACTGCGCCCCCTCAGGGGCCAGACCCACAGCTGCCACAGGGCGGGGCGCGGGTGAAAGACCCGGCCTCCCGCCTGGGACAGCAGGTCTCTGCCGGATGGCCATCGTGTGCAGGCTTGCACCAGCTCGTCCCGCCGCCATGTAAGCCTTGCCCACCAGGGTGGATGTCGCCCGACATGGCTTGGTGGGCAGCGCCGGTGTCTTGAGGGATGACGCGAGGGTGGGAGAAAGGTAGCTCGCTAACGCCTCCTCAACCCGCTTAATGTCTGCCACATTGCTGTAAATCCAGCAGAGGAGAAGTAGTCAGTCGTGCAGAGAAGGGTCTATTCCAAGATTTACACAAATTGTAACCGGGGCGGTGCACGGTGCTGCAGAAAACGCTCATTCAGTTTACTGCTGGCCTGCTCCTGCACCGCCTGTGTCCAATCAATGCTTAGCTTGGCCGCAGCCCTCGTCACCACCTCCAATAACGCATCATAGTTGGGAGAAGAATGTTGACATCGGCCCGGCTCCCGAAAGTCCTCCTCCATGAGGCTAAGCACGTCCATCTCCTCAGAGCCAGAGACTGTGCAAGCCTCTCCGGACTCATACCTCGGGCGGGAGAAGCCGAAAAACGGGCTCCCGATCGGGGAAGAGGGGAGGGGGAGTCAGCAGACGAGGACCGGGAAAAGGCCTCAGCCGTCCCGATGCCCTCTGAGATATTGCGCGGTAATCCCCAGGAGCGCAGACACCACGACACAAGCCGCACGAGACCTTAGCACCCTCAGGGACAGGGCCTCGCAATGGCCGCAGGCATCCCCCTCGAGAGCTGCCTGGGCGTGCGACATCCCTAGGCAGGAAACACACATCTCATGAGTATCCCCAGTCGTGATGAAGCGCGGACAAGGAAAAACACACTGTCGGAACTGTTTACCAGACATGATCTCTTCTGCTTCGTCGGGAACTTCCAGGTAAGACGATCTTCCAATAGTGGAGCTTTCAAACATGCTCAGAGTGCCTGCTGAATAGAAAAAAGCTAATGTGTCCTGTGTGCCAGCGTGCCTATATACGCCTCCAGTTACGCCGTCACATGCTACCGTTTTAGCAACACCAATAGAATTGGAGTAGTTTCATTCATGATTCAGCCCTGCCACGCCCAAAGCCGTTCCCATAGTGTCGTCACCGACACAGTTCAAGTTCCCTCGAAGGGGAACCCCACCTCGTACCCTGCTTTGTCAATCCTATACAACACCTGCAAAATTTCCACAAGTAAATCAGGTCTGGACTTAGTTTTAGTATCTTTAATTGTAATTAGAGTTGCTGCTGAGTCACTTCATATTGACTGACTGCTCCTGTTTGTTATCTTCAACCCACCTTAATTACCATAGAACTGCCACCAGCTCAGCTGTAACGTTAATACCAAAAGTCACCTTACTGCTCTCAGGATCCTTTGACTCGTCACCATAAATTTGGAGGTGGCCTTCCCATATTTGACACAGCCGAACTTCACTCAGCCTGCTTGTTATCAAAAAATATAAGTCGATAATGGGATCTAGGATCAACCATGAAGGTATATCTGACCTTCATATTGCTGAAAAACGTTCAAATTCACAATACCAATTTCATCTGCCATAGATTTGAGTTTTTTCTGTAAAGTTTGTTTTGACCCTTCTTGCTGTTCCCATAAAGTCCCATTGCTGACTCAACAGTCTTTTTGTTGGTAGTTTTTCATTCTGTCCTTTTAATTTCATTAAATACTTCAAACCAAGTTTACCTCTTCTTATTTCTAATGGTGTCTCTCCTGTTTCTATTAATAGTGCTGGTATTGGAGTTGTACGAAATGTCCCACTGCAAACTCTAAGGGCTTTTGCTTGGACTATATCAAGTTGACTAATCACTGAAGTGGCTGCTGACCCATATATACACCACACAGCCAAAATCAATAGTTGATCTTATCATTATCAGCCCCCCAATCAGACCCAGCCACACACCTTAAGACATCAATTATTGTCAAGTTGTGATTTATTTCTTGTGCAATTCCCCACTTGTAAAGGACAATCCCTCCACATGAAGATCTTAACTGGATTTCACTCAATAAACAGCCATGGGATCAGTTTTTCATCTTTTATTAACCAATCTTTGGTGGGCAGTAAACAGGTGAAAAACCTCAAAAGAGAGATGAGTTAACAGCCAAAATAAAATTATTCACATTTAACTCAGATAAACACATTTCTGCCATTATAAGTTACAAGGTTTCCAATTTTAAACTAAATGTTATCCAAATAAATACCTATAATTTTAAATCAAATGATCAGAGTTAGTAGATTTTTTTTAGCCAAATGCAATACAAAATATTTTCTAGTAGTAAAAAATTATATTTAATTTCTAATCATTAGTTTTAAGCCATATATTTCTAGTAAAGAATTATTATAAAGGTATCAACTAGTATGTAGCCACACAACTAGATACATTATACCAAAACAAATCAGTTGGTATTTTAATTTTCAAAATGTATATTTTCTTATCTTTCCTTTTCCCCACTTGTTTGATAAAACCAAACAACATTTGAAGTTACAAATACCAATGCAAAAAGTCCTATCAAAGTCAGCAAGAGTTAAGAGTCTGTGTTTTTCCAGAGCATCATTAGCACTGCACTGCTTAAGTCAATCTAGTCAAACATGGCCAATATGGCGCTTACCGGCTGTCCTTCACAGTTTTGTGGAGGGCTTGGTCTTGCACAATCACTTTAATGACAAAGATCGAGATCCTTGGTTTTGTGGTGCTATAAATGCTCCTTCCACTGCGGTCTAAAGCCAGGTACTGGCACGCTCAGATTGCCTGGAAGATTTGTTCCACCTGGTTCACCACTGATTGAAGGGGAGGAGGAGCTCCCAGGCAGTTTGTCAGCACAATTATTTTCCCGCACTTCAAAGAAACCATCTCAATATGCTTTTTCCATGTCATTCTTTCATCTAACCACATTCCTAAAAATAAGAGTTTTTCACTTTTTCAATAGTCCTATTATATATTTGTAACATCTATGTTGGCATTTTCTTATGACCAAATATCATATATTTTGTTTTCTCTGTAGATATTTTAAAGCCCCAATCATTAGCCCTTCAGTTACTTTCTCCATTGCAACTTGAATATACAAGAGGTTTTTCCCTCGCTTCCAGATGGCCCCATCATCTGCAAACAACGAAAACCTAAATTCTTTTCCCATTCTAATAAACATACCATTGACTATATATAATAATAAGATAATAATAATGAGGTAAGTAGCTTTATGTAAGTTCTTATAATAATAAGAACTGGACTTGGACTGGATAAAATAATCCAGTCTGATACATTCATTTAGAAATATGACCACATTACTCCTGTTTTAGCTTCATTACACTGGCTCCCAGTATGTTTTAGAATTGACATTAAAATTCTATTGATTACTTTTAAAGCTCTTCATGGCCTCTCGCCTTGTTATATTTCTGAACTTTTAGTCCCATACATCAGCACGTAGCTTGAGATCCTCGGGCAGAGGTCTGTTGTCTGTTCCAGAGTCTCGACTGAAAACTAAAGGGGACAGAGCGTTTGCTGTCAGGGCCCCGAGGCTCTGGAACAGCCTGCCTGAGGAAATCAGGTCAGCTGAGTCTTGTATTGTATTTTACTAATTTTATATTTATCTTAAACGTGTATTTTAGTCTTTTCAATGTTTTCATGCTTTTATCTTGTATTGTTTTTGTATTATTGTCTTTTGGGTATTATTGTCTTTACACTTGTTAAAGCACTTTGTAACTTGTTTTTGAAAAGTGCTCTACAAATAAAGATTATTATTATTATTACTTATTACACTACCTTGATGGGTTTTATTCCCTAGCTCAAGCTCCCCTGATAATTCACTTCCCACCGTCACCTGAATTGTCCTTTTACATAAAAAAACCCCTCTTAATCCAGCTGAATATTCTTCCTCTGATTCCAACATCATAAAGTGCAATTAGCATCTCCTCCTTCCATAGCATGTCATAGGCTTTTTCAATGTCCAGAAACACTGCTACAACTGCTTCTTTATTTGCAATGGCTTTTTTAATGTCACTATCTAAGTCTAAAACAGCATCCATTGTTGATCGACCTTGCCTAAATCCACACTGATCTTCCACAAAAAAACCCCACTTTTCTCCAGTTCATCCACAAGTCTATCTGTTATCATGCGCTCCATAATTGTGCGTAAAACAGAGGTTAATGCAATCGGTCTGTAAGAACCAGGGTTATCTGGTTGTTTTCCAGGTTTCACAACTGGAATGATTACAGCATGTTTCCACTCTTTAGGAAGACATCTACTCTCCCATACATTATTAATCAGGGCAGGAACTTCTTCTATCATTTCTCTAGAATACAAAACATTCCTATTAAATCACTGTCCCTGCCCCTTTTAGCAGACTAACAACAGATGAGTCAGCAGCTCCCCAGTCTCCCCATAACTGTAGCCTCCCTGTCCCAGTGAAGAAGGTGAGCAGCATGGTGTTTATGACATGCCAGTTAGCATTATTCCAGGGAGTTTGTGGGGATTTCTCTGGTTCTCTTGCTCTTTTTACCATAACAAAAAAAGACAATGAAATATTTCTTAATGACAGAAAACACACAAATTATTTTCTCACATAATGATCATTATGAAATAAAAAAAATAAAAAAAACTTCCTGTCTGTACTGGAAGCTGGATAGCAGTTTACCTCAGCCTGCATGTAAGTTACAGACTATATTAAAATAATCCAGTCTGATACATTCATTTAGATTGAATTATGGCCGTTAAATGACATCTATAGATACAGACTTTATTATTCCCTCATGACGGGCAATTTATTTAAGAAGCAAATAGTGAACTGCATCCTGTATCACCAGCAGTAAATATTGTGCTAGTACTTGTTCTTAATAATAATAAGTAGTAATATTGAACTACAAAAAGCCAGACACTTGCAAGCCTTTAATTAGAGTTATGTAAAGCTTTTGATGGGACAGTTAAGTCCTAGAGAAGTAGTGACAACAGCTGTGCAGAGGGGGTCAAATTAGATTTTTTTGTCATGGGGCCCAAAATTCCTGGCGGCCCTCCTGCGGCGAGGTATATTTCCCCTGATTAATAGCTTTTTTTAACTCTTCCATTGAGAAAAAAACATTGACATCATCAGAATTATCACAATTGCTTTATGCAATTTTGTCATATTATTTCTTGTTATTTAACATCTCCTTACTTCACCTACATTAATGGAACTATGAACTTTTTTAAAATGCTTGACCAACATATTTGCTTTTCCTTAATTATTTACAGCTTCAGCTCCATCACAGTGGAGGACAGGGATTCCTGTCTGCCGAAAGACACCTGTCATTCTATGCACAGGGTTCCAAATCTTTTTTAAAGGCGTATCTGGTCCTAATTATTACAAAAATTCTTCCAACTTTGTTTCTTTGCTTCCTTAATTACATGTCTAGCCTTAGCTCTAAGCCTCTTATACTCAATAGTATAATTTTCTAAGAAATGTTATGCCCTATTCCCTGCCCTAACCATTGCCTTAGTCTGAGGGTTTTCCATATCACTATCCTGAGAAATATATCCTCACTCTCTTTTGTGCTTTTTCTTACTCACTGTGTTACATTTCTCCCCACCCCCATCCCAACCCGCTCCCTTGGGCAAGGGCTGACTCTGAATTTAGGATTTTAACAAGAAGCAATGAAAGTGTTGTTTGCCCTTTACAGTTGACTCACCACAGGCCTTCCTTTTCACTCCGGATCTATCAACTGAGTTTGCAAAGACCTGTTCAGGAATATCGTTTCTGGACCTGTACACGCCGTCGGGCAATACCCCTTCAAACAGTTCCTCACAATACTCACACTAAGCAACCCAAAATTACGACGATTAATCATACAAATTCAAAAACCTCCTCTCAATTTAAATTTCCCTTGAAACGTGCTGTCTCTAACACCAATCTCGTACTTCTGCCAACGTGCCTCCACTCCACCCCTTTGACAGCCATAATGCCAGACTTCGAGGCTTACAAACGGTAGTCCACAAACCTTTGGGGGATGTCATGGTGGCTATGTTCACTTCACACAGTCTATGCTCACAACTCCTGCTACTGTGCCTAACATCAAGACAACCGCATATTTTGGCGAACTAGAAAGTAAGCTGAAGGTCCGTGGGCAAGTATTTTAACGTTACTTGACACCAGAGATGGGGACTTGAGTTTGAGGCTCGGACTCGAGTCGCACTTCATAGTCATAGTCACACAGTGCCTTCCGACTCGACTTGAGACTCAAACGGACTCGGACTCGAGGTGCAGGACGCGTGAACAATGTTTATTTTTAGGAAACGTCTGATAAGCTTGCTGTTATTTCCCTTCCTCCATTACCTATAAGCTGCCTACATAACACGTACTATGTGAGAGAGGACAACAAACACAGGCAGCTGCTCCGCCATTCATCATAAACATTGGCTTTAAAACTTCATACAACAAGACCCAAACAAAGAAGCGCTGAACGCAAAATAGGTTAGTAACCTGAGGTTAGTAAACATGTTTAGCTCTGTATTGGCCATCTAATATTAGCTCTTTTGTTCTGAAAAGATGAATGAGCGTTTGTTTACTTGCCAAACTTGTAGTAGTCGATTAACTTAATCATTTATGTCCCGCTGGCTGCCATCACGTTAATTATTAACGTCGGCTGCAAACAGGCTACAGGTTGTATTGTTGATCATGTAAAGTTACAGTTTTATTAATTATAATGTTACACTGATGTGAGAGTCTTTGGGATGTGTTGACTAACAGTAGTTTATAAGCTGTGATTAATTGCATCACATTACATTAAATTTATTCATTTGGCAGACGCTTTTATCCAAAGCATGATGTGCATTGCACATTACAGGCAGTGCTCTATAAGTGAAAAACAGGTTACTGTTACAGAATTATAGCTATGCTCCTATAACCCTATGGAGAGGAGAGGAGATGAGGAGACTGGACAGAGAAAGGGGTGGGCGGGAGGCGTGCGGAATGCGAGAGGGAAGAAGAGGATGTGTGTTGTGTGGGTATTTATGGAAATGCCGGGAGTGACGTCATTGATGTGTGGTCCTGCCCCTGAAACTCTTCGAGAACAGCAGTCAGGTAAACTTGTGTTCTCTCCTCTCAAAGTCTTATGTGAGCAGCATGTGTAGCTGCAGTGAATCTCTCTCTGTCTTGTAACCCAGCTGGGCAGCGCTTCTCTCTCTGTTTCGTTTTAGTTTCTTGTCAAACTGTGAGCAATATTAGAGTGAAATAGTCTACAACTATTTATTATGTCTGATAAACGCTGACGTACTACGATGTTCATAAACTGCAGCACTGAAAAGAACGTGCATGAACATGCGCTCACACGCACTAACACGCGCTCACACGTGAGTCAGTGTGCATAAAATGAAAACTTGTGCATCCGGCTGAGTGGGGCTGCAGTCTGCAGTCGGACCTTATTGCATTCCAGCAGCAACATTAGTGGGACCAGTCCAGAAACGGATGTGATGGCACTCCTCATAGGCCCACATCATTTTAAAACGATAATAACGACAATAATCATCTGTCTCTCAGTGAAGGTGTAGTTACAATTCTGGACTAATGCAAGATGGAAAGCATTGGATTCACATTGACTATTAAAATGTTGATTAGCAAGCCAGAATGGGCAATATGGATGTACATCTTTCAGTAAATTATATATTTACTGAAAGATCCATCCATCCATCCATCATCAACTGCTTATCCTTCATACAGGTTCGCGGGGTTACTGAAAG